TGCCCAGGCTTTCGGCAATGGTAGCATACATTTTGTCCAGCTAGACATTCTCCTCTGTGATGCTTTCCACAGTTGGCACAGGCTGGAACCCGATCACCTTGCTGCTTCTGCTTACTTTTGCGGTCATTCTTGTGACCTTTCCACTTTCTCTTGTTTTTCCCATTCTTTTCTTGCTGAACAGGTACCAACTGAGCTGGTGGTACTGCTGGAACTTGTGATATTGGTTGTACTATAACTTGATTATCTCCCCTCTTGAAACTAGCCTCGATCTCATGAGCCTTGGCCACAATATCAGCATAATTCTGAATATTGTGTCCGGCGACATGATGACGGATCGAGGGTAGCAGGCCATCTCAGAAACGTCTCGCCTTCTTTGCCTCCGTCTCCATTAGATTGGGAGCAAAGGATCCCAACCTAGTAAATTCTCGTTCATACTCATCTATTGAACGATTTCCCTGAACTAGCGCCAGGAATTGGCGTTCCATCTCAGCCTTATAGTAGTCAGGGTAGTACTTATCATTCATCATCTCTTTGAACTGGGCCCAAGTGAGATTCTCTTTCTCACCAGGACGCATGCCCCAGTAAGAATTCCACCAGAGACGAGCATCTCCAGTCATTTGCAACTGAGCACAGAGAATGCGATGTTTCTCCAAACACTCAGTAATCTCAAAGATTGTCTCCAGACCTTGGATCCATTCTTCCACTAGACGAGGATCTTCTTGTCCAGAAAACTTCTCAGCATTGTAGCCACGAAACTGGGCAACTACTTCTGCTGAGGTCATCTCTCTTTGACATTGATTCACTCTTCGTGCCATCTGGATTATTAATCCCATGATAAACTTTAGCACACTTTGGAATAATTTCAAGATAAGCCATTATTTCTATACGAGTTATTTATTAACTCGAAAATTTTAAATTTCTCAAATCTAATAGGGAGTAATATGGTATTTCTTAAAATCTTTGATTGAGCATCTTTTCTGATTTCTAAAATTTGGATATACGAATCCTATTGAGCATAGACTTAGTAATTTGCTTATATAAAAACTTTCATAAAACATTTAATCAACACTTACCTGGTAGTCGGCGAGGTGTGAGTGTGGTGGGGTCGGTTTTCCTGAAACTGTTTTCTGAACTTAAACTTTTAGTATACAGAGCACTTACTCTAGCTCTGATACCACCTGTAACACCCCGCTCATCCGAGTAAATTTTTCGCAACTTTTACTTCGAAAATACTTATAACTCTTTCGAAATCTTTTGCGACTAACTCGGGATGCTACTCAAACTCATCTTTTCTGGAAATCCGTTTATCTTTAAACTTTGTCTAATACTTCTTTTGACTTAAAGAAGCAGATTTAATTAAACTTGGATTTAACTATATCATATTCATACTTCTGAAATGATAAAAACTTGAAATCTGAAATTTATTAGAATGCAAGTTCAAGCCTCAATATGCGTAGCGGCAATACTTAAAAACGTGAATAATTATACAGACATATCAAGTTCATAATAAATGTCCACTTAAAGAAGTGCACGACCACCACCACCACTTCTTGAGCTCACACCTCCAGCCCGACCCTGTTACCTGAAAAACACAATGGGGGTGAGTACTGATCCTCTTGTATTCCGAAATCACCCATACTAAAGTAAACAGCAATAATAATACAATATCATGATCTTTGGTATATATCTTGACTGGAAATCTGTTCCAGTAACTAAAACTGAATCTGGCCGATATCTAATCGGATACTTGTGCACAATCTGATGGATATTTCTCAAGGCAACTCAAACGGCCTCCATCAGAACTTAGGATATACTCTGAGACAACTGAATGCCTCCTCATCCCAAGCGTATAAACTTAAACTGTATACATACCTCGAACATGATATCAATATTATACTCAATGTAATACCCAGTCTGGGTCCCCACCTTTCTTCTTTTGAAACTTTGAAAAGCGTAAGTGTTGTTCTTTGGTAGCTAACTCCTCAAGCTACATAACAATATAAACAAATATACTAAGTATTATGCTCGTATACTCAATAATATGCTGGGATTCTTAACTCTACCAGATAACTTATCCGAATCTTAAAGGTATTCATTAAACATGCTATTGCTCAAATGAATACTAAATCACTGAAAAACCAAACTTTTCTTAAACTTTTGCTCAAGGTCAAATACTTAACCCATATAAATCATATCTTTCAAAATCTTAGATATTAGCTTATACTCGCATGTCACTTAAATAACTCGTATGTGAAAATAAACTAAATTTCACATTAGACTTAATTGAATACATGAACTCAAAACATGCTCAACTTTTACCAATATCATATACATGATTTATACGGATTTTTAATCTATCAAACTTGTCTTAAACTTGCTTGATATTAAAATCTCAAACTTGATACTTATTTAATACAAGTTTTTATCATAACAATAAATTATGATATTGATATACTAGACTTGAAACAATTTTGTAAAATCACATACTCAACATATTGAACTGAAACTTGGTCAAATTGCTCATCACTCATATAAGAATTTTTTTCTAAAAATTCCATTTTAAAAACTCAACCATGTACTGAATACTCTTGCATATAATATCATCTTGACATGTATGCCATATAAATATTTTAACTCGTTTATTTCTCAATATAAAATCATGAAATTTGGCAGTCATGTTCTTAACCCATATATAAGCATGTCGTAAAAGTTTCATAATTTTATCATGCCTATATATCGAGTTATTACAATTTTAAAGTCACAGCTGAAATAAAGAACATAAAATTCAACTTGCATGCTTAACTTAAAAAATTTATAACTCAAGCTATACTATGCCAAATGACATAATTCTTTCACCTATATACTCAGCACTTACACAAGAAATATCCATAATAAGCTTAACACGTCAGGTTATGCATATCATGCTCAAATTCAAATCAAAACAGTACATATATAACATGTGATTGTGCTGGAAACAACTTATCATTTATTTTTTTTTTCATGCTTAAAATTTCTTTAAAAATTGAATATATATATATATATATATGGCATGAAAATACATCAATATTCACTTAATATAAACTATAACATATGATAAAAAGGTAGCATCTAATCTTCTTCAAGAAATTTGAAAATGAAACTTCAGAAGTTGATCTCAACTTATCTTTGTCAAGATTTCTCTCGATTTATCTCTCTTTCTTACCCTCTATAGCTAAGACTTTGCTTATTATGATGTGAATTTTGAGCCTATGCTGATGCTCCTTTATATAGGGTAGCAAAGGAGACAACATCACCTTCTTTACATCAACACTCCATCATAATAAACACCATAGGCCCCTTATCATTAATGTTTTTCTAAAATCTTGCACAAAGATGATTAAGCCTTGATAAGTACTTGTAATGCATGATTTATCTTGCATATATCAAGACAAACCTTCTCCCTTTGACCATGCCTCGAAATTAAGCTAAAATGGCTCATTTATCCCTTAAAAATACTTAGAAAAATTTTATAAAAATAAATAAAGATAAAGAATGGAAATCATAACTTGTAAACATAACAAATCTATAGTCAATACTTAGAAAGGCCCATCATGTGATCCTAATCCTATTTTCATGATAGAATTCGTGATTTAGTGAAAAATTTCCAATTTACAGAACCGAATTCCGACTTAAAATGAACGGTTACCGAAAAATCAAAAATTTTAAAAATTTCAGATTTCCATCTTTTGCTTTTGGCCTTTTTCCTTTTTATGCTGAAAAATTTTAACTCTTATTAATGATCTTGAAACTTGTAAAAAAAATACAAGAAAATAAATTTTTCGGAAACGAAATCGGACTTAATTATCGACTACAACCGAACATCGAAAAAACTCGAAACTAGCGAATATAATTTCGAATATACTCTTAATAATATAAATAGACCTTTTTGTCTAAATAACTTCTACTTAATCCTTATAATTTATCAATCAAATCATATAATTCATATAAAATACTTAGGCAATTTATAACATTTACTCGACTAACTCAATTTAATGAAAAACGATTCCGATTTAACTTTAATGTCGAGCCAACTGAAAAATAAAATTTCAAGAGATTTATTAAGGCTTGGAAATATAAAAGATCATTATTAGTAAAAGTAAAATAGTTCTAACTTAGAACTGAAATAATTACTTTTATTAATTACTGAATGTGATATTACATAATAAACCAACGCAAAAACAAAGAAGCTATACACAAATAAAAGAGAAAGAGAAAAAGAGAACATACAAAGCACAATGACAAGTCACTGTGCAGCCGGAGGTGATGGTGGCGGGTAAGGCTGACTGGGTCCCGAACTCCAACGGGTGTCCCACTGAGTGAATCGCTGATCCCAACTATCCATCCGAGCATCCTGCTGGTCCTGTCGCGCGGAGACCGCCAGTGAAGCTATCGAAGTGCGTGCCCATTTGAGTCCAGTGGGTCTGCTGCTGGGTCTCCCAATGGTCCCACTGAATCTTCTGCTGGGTCTCCTAACTGGTCCACTGTGTGGTCTGTCGGCTCTCGAGATCAGCCCATCTGCCATCCTGGGCATCGAAGCGATCGTGGATAGAGCGGATGTCGGTTGTATACTGAGTCTGAAATGTGGTCCACCATTTGGGTGGCTGCTGTGGAGGTATCTCAGGGTGTGGGTTCGGGGTTGGCGTCCACGCGGGTGGAGGCGGAAGGTAATGGTCATCGTCGACATTCATCTGCTCATGCTCGTCTCCCGCTGTCGGTTGCCGAGACGACCCTGCCTGATCGGAGTTAGGCTGATCCTGCCGGAGCTTTTTAAAATAGGTGTCGTAGGCATTGCGCTTCATATACTTCTTAGCTGTTGTCCGGTTCTGAATAAGGTCAGCCTGCTTGAGCTCATTATAGTTGATACATCGCATCTCAGACATGTCTTCAAGCCCAATCTCTCCATGTAATCTATAGGCTTCTGAGTGATGTCGAAGTGGTGAGCGAGTGCGGTAACAAAATACCCAAGTGCCGGTAATCCACGCCGAGTGAGGGCAATCTCCTGTAAGGAGTTCTGTAGGAAGGTCATAGGACACACTCGCACTCCCGCCCGCATCGTCCATAGGAGAAAAAGCTCGACCTCACTGACTTTATTTGCCTCTTTTTTGCCGAAGATATTATAGCAGATGAACCGATGCACAATGGCAGTGGCCAGGTCTTGGATAAGCCCGTTGGACATGCCGGCAGAATCCCATGTCGTATGCGGGGAAATCTCGGCCCAACTCCTCTTGGCGTCGAAATCGATGGCCTTGCTTCTCGTACCGGCCATGGTGAAACCGCAAACTTCCTTCATCACGGCATTGTCCACCATGAGATCCTTCCCCTTAAGCCGACAAGTGAAGAATTCGTTCCCATCGGCGAGAACAAATGAGCTGAAGAACTCAAGCATAAGGGTGCGATGCGACCTCTCCTCAATTTTGGCATAGTCGGTTAAGTTTAAGACCTTGAGGTACTTCATCACGTCCTCCAGAATACCCAAGTCGTTCAAGAGGTCCCAATCCACCGCCTTCGGTCTCACTACCTCTTTTTGCGAAAGACGGGCATAAATGTTGCCCTCCTTCCTAGAATAAATCGGGAACGGAGCACCGTATTGGTCTGAAAGGTCATCTCGGTCACCATCCAGAGGGGCATCTCGAGAGGAGGATTCGCCCGTTTTTCGCTTCTTAGCCGGTTCTTGAGTGGTTTTCTTTTTGGTGGGACGAATTGGATTCTTGCCCATTTGAACGGTCTATCGGGCAATATGTCGAACACGTGGCGTGCGGTACTTTGGACTTAAGAGCATGTGAACAATTCTAGATTGTAAATCCCGGAGCAGGCCTCCTCACGCCTCAACAAACAACGCACTTCAAGTAGAGTAAGCTATCGTACCTTTGTGCGAGAAATCAGGCCGGAAGCGGACAAACCACGAGTTAGGTATGAAGAACAAGTGTGTTGGACAGAATTTGTACCGCTGGGGCTCGTGAACGGAGGTCACCGGATGACTGAGGAGGGGACGGCCGGAGAGACTCGCCGGAACGATGATAGCGACAGTGATAATCTCGGGCTGAGAGGAGAACTAGGGTTCCCGAACTCAAACTCGAACTAGCCGGTAAAATTTCTTGCAAGAAATCACGGAAGGAAGAGCCTGAAATTGGGATGACAACCTTCCGAATTTATTCAAAGATTTATGAGAGATTGATGTTGGTAGGGTAAATTCTCCGTGAGAAAAAAACGGTCTCAAGAAATGGAAATGGGAAAGAATGCCCGAAAATCTGCCGAAGAGTGCCCTTTAATCGCGTTCGCTGCAGCCGCGACTGCCCCCGCGGCCGCGAGATTTTATACGCAAGAAACGTGAATTTGCGAACGAAACATTGCCGCGGCCGCGGCGAAGAACTGCTTTGTGGCCACGACCCGTCTCCGCGGCCGCGAGAACACTCCGAGGCCACGAGGCTTCTCCTGCAGAAATTGGTATCTGGGGCACAAAATAATACTCGCCGCGGCCACGGCGAAGAAAACCCTCGCGGCCCGCGGCGACAATTTTTTTTTTTTATATATATAAATAGAAATATAAATAGATATATATATATATATATATATATACAAAAAGTACAAAAATGCTCAGTTTAAAGCCGGGAGCTCGGCACCAATCAGAATCAAGGATACAGTGGGTCGCCGAGACTGATGGTCTTGACATGTTGCTTCCCGAATTCTCCTTCAAAGTACGGCTTCACCCGCTGTCCATTGACTACAAACACGTCATCATTCGCCGGAATTCAGAGTCGGACAGCTCCAAAAGATAACACTTCATCGACAAGGTATGGGCCACTCCATCTTGACTTGAGCTTTCCCGGAAAGAGACAAAGTCGGGAGTTGAATAAGAGAACTTTCATACCGGGCACTAGGTTCTTTCGGACAATGGTCGAGTCGTGAAGCTTTTTGACCTTGTCCTTGTAGATTTTGGAGTTCTCGTAAGCCTCGTTCCTCAACTCCTCAAGTTCTGACAGTTGCCATGTTCGCTCCCGTCCGGCTGCCTCAATATCAAGATTCATCTGCTTAATTTCCTAAAGAGCCTTGTGCTCGATCTCGATCTGAAGGTGGCACGCCTTCCCGTAGACAAGCCGAAATGGGCTCATCCCCAAGACTCCCTTGTAAGTTGTGCGTTGGGCCCATAGTGCATCATCAAGACGACTGGACCAATCTTTCCTGGATGAGTTCACCGTCTTCTCAAGAATGGTCTTGATCTGCTTGTTACTCGTTTCTGCCTGGCCCGAAGTTTGTGGGTGGTATCGTGTGGCAACCTTGTGTGAAATGCCGTATTTCTTCATCAGTTTCTCAAAAATCCGGTTACAAAAGTGTTTGCCTCCATCGCTCACAATAACTCGTGGGAATCCGAACCTGCTCAACACATGACCCTGCAAAAACTTGATGACCACTTTAGCATCACATGTCCTTGTGGGGATAGCCTCAACCCACTTGGACACGTAATCTACGGCAAGAAGAATATACTCAAAACCAAAAGATTTGGGAAACGGACCTATAAAAGCAATGCCCCATACATCAAAGATTTCAACTTGAAGATTGTTAACTAAAGGCATTTCATTCCTTGGGCCAATATTCCCAATTCGTTGACAACGGTCACAAGATTTGCAAAAAAATATAAGCATCTTTAAATAGGGTCGGCCAGAATAAACCTGATTGGAGGACCTTAAGGGTGGTCTTTCGACCTCCAAAATGTCCCCCACACTGAAGCTCGTGGCAAAAAGCAAGGACATCCGGTTGTTCCTCTTCGGGCACACACCTCCGAAGGATCTCATCTTTTCCCATCTTAAAAAGGAATGGTCGTCCCAAAAGTAACTCCTGTACATCAACACAAAACGCTTCCTCTCTTGGGCAGAGAGGCTAGACAACAAGACTCCATCTAATAAATAATTCACTATGTCTGCATTGTTAGTGCTATATACTGAAAGCTTGGCTTTGCATGTTATTACACATTTACTCTTTATGAATGAGAATCATGTTAGATTAAACAAGTTCTACGTTCTGTTGTTCTGCACTTAGATAGGGTGGGTCGTCATTGGACGAACCGAAGATCACTCTATCAGTTACTTGCGAACAAGAATAGTTTTTCACAACCTAGATGGACATGAACACCCCATCCGCACGGTTGTAGTGTCAACTGTACAGTTTTTCTTGACTGATTAGTTGCACTAGTATATTTATGTATTGAACAGGATCCCAGAAAGGAGAAATTCATTTTATACTGATCGTCGTAAATGAACTAGGCCTCGGTTAATTAATGCGTTCTCTTAACCCGTAAGATATTAAACAGGCAGATATATATAATATATATTACTTGGATTCACATGGGTGAGGTTCAGTTCGCTGGATTAATATTCCTACTGTTTTGGGTAATATTATTATATATAGGATGTGTTGTTAGGATATTTACGGTCACCATGTGCGTTAGTTTGATGATGTCCCCGGAGTGAGTTCATGAAGGATTGTTATGCTAAACCCTGCAGGTGGATTAAATTCTGGCATAATAAGAATGTGATGAACGAGCGCTAGCTTCGGTGAAATAATAATAAATTAATTAATTCTTGATTGTCAGTAATCGAATTAATTAATGGACATTATATCTTAAACGTGGGGAGGTAAATCGAGTAATTATTATTGAGTCTCAAATGTAATTTGGGCTAGGAAAAGGGAGTGCAATAATATAATGTTGGTGGCTCATTAATATTATTTAATTAATTAGAGGAGTGGGCTTGGCCTACAGTTAGTCTAATTAATTAAGGAGTCCTTTTCCTAATCTCTTTAGGGTCCCTACTGTAGCTCTATATATACATCATCTATATATACATCATTAAGCTCATGAGAAGGAAGAGAGTTACACATCACACGTGAAACACGCCTCTCTCTCTACTGGTACAAGTTGAAGAAGGGTGTATTGAGTAACACAGTAAAAGATCTGTAGGTAAACCGAGACGAAATATATTTTGACCTACAGAACTACCCGGAAGTCCGATTGAGACGTACAATATACCCAGACGACTGTCTCGACGAGAGCTTTCCATCGCCGCCGAGATCGCCGGATTCCAACGCCGCACGCGCCCTCACGCACCGCCAGAAGGTGCCTGGCAGCAATTTTCGTTTTGATCTGTTTGCAACCGTTTGATCCGGTTTTGATCTGATCTTGTTCGCGCAACCCAAGACGTGATTTGCGGTTTAATCAATTGCGGTCAACCGTTAGTGGTCAACCAGATCTACATAAATTTTAAGCCGTAAGTTCTCTACGTCAAACCTTTAAATCCGCTGCGCATAGGTTTACGTTTGCTATTGAATTCGTGACTTGTACATAACGAGATCCTCAAAGATCCCAACAAGTGGTATCAGAGAACTTGGTTAATTCGTTTTGTACAAAGTTCGAATTTTTACAGCTTTATTTGACAAGATGTGTTCAAACGCAGCCATATATTGGATTATATTTGCATAACTCGGTTTTGCAGGAAAATAGTTAATCCACTATTATGCCGATTATGTGTTCGATGAATGTTGTTGAATGTGATGTATGGTTTTAAATTTGTTTTAAAGCCTCGGGAATGTCGAGGAATTTATGGATGAATGTTTATAATAATTATTCGCCCGGGGGTTGACCGGATAGATTTAGTAATTTGTTTAGAAAACATGTACATCCATTCGTTGGATCTCGGATCGAATTATGTAATTTTGTAAATTATATTTTTCGTGTTGTGATCGTGTGTTGATGACCGGGAGATCACAAGAGATCAACGAGCCTCGAAAAAAAAAAAACGGTGGCTTTTTCCGGCTAACTGGCAGGCGACGACCGGTGGCCGGCGACGGCGGACTGGTGGCGGCAGGTGGTGGTTCGTTTTTGCCTTGATGATCAAGTAGTACAAGATCAACCAGGATTCTACTGCTTAAAGGAGTTCCAGTTGAACAAGGAAAGAATTGTCACAGTTTCCTTGTTTAAGGAGACTCAATATTTAATGGCCATAATAGTGGATTTATTTATTTATTTATTTAAATTTATTATGCCATTAAATTATTATTTATGCATGTTAATTAATTATGTTCTTGCATGGGATTAATTTAGTATTACTAGATTAATTATGCATGTTAATTAATTATGTAATGCATAGAATTAATTTGGAATTGTGTCAATAAATTATGCATGTAATTAATTATTGCACTGGCATAGATTAATTTTGAATTGCATAAATTATTGAACATGTTAATTAATTATTGCATTGACATAGATTAATTTAGAATTGCATGAATTAATATGCATGTTAATTAATTATTACATTA